CAATAAACGTAAAGACATATTTGTAAAAATCTCAACATTCATGCATTATTTTCCATTATTTAAAAAGGCCTATAATGAGAACTTTCGCTTTTGGAGATTATGGGGCAGCCCAAATCCAAGCATTCAAAACAAACAATAAGTCTCTCGAAAGAGAAAAATATAAACATGTAGAGAATATTGCATTAGACATTGATTTCAACTGTTCCAGTGAGGTCTTCCAAGTAGAAATGGCCATCCTCTAACTGAGATATAACGCCCATGACCCATCTTCCCCATCTTCCCCCTGTTAGCCCAATGAGACTCTGAATTGGAGATATCTACCCAACATATACACATAAATAAGCATACTTTAATTAACATATGTCTCTCCAATCTTGATATGTTTATGTGCAAAACAGAGAGACGGATTACCTCACAGCTGCCGAACTAAGACCTTTCAGTATCAAATGCAGGCTTCGAAAAATGCTGATCACGAGAAAGCCTGTGGAGCAACAAGAGAAATCTATCCCTATATAAAGTGGCTTTGGCATAAGCATCACCATGAATGGGAATCTTTCCTGTATGCCTACAATTCAAAAAAGAAAAATGGCATAACTAACACCACCTAATCAAATGTTCAAATTAACATGAACATAATCCACAGCAATGCTGAGAATCTAATCTAATCATAATAATTTAATAAATGAACATAATCCATAGCACAGACAAGGAATGTCAATATAAAGGCTCAACGGTAAATAAATAAAAATACCATGCCAAGAAGGCAATGGGTTGGAGTTGTGACAAGATTTTATCAGTGTTAAAAAAATTCATTTAGCCACCCCTCAAAAGATGTAATCTGCCCAGTTGAAAGTCATTCAGCTAATGCAGAGATGTAATTGCAGAAATTTGCACCCCTTAAGTGTAAGAAAACAAGAAAAACTCTGGGGCTTGCTTCATCTATTCCTTCAATTGCAAATGCAACAAGTTGAGATATTGCCACTTTAAACCGATAAAACAAAAATCCAACCATAGCCTTTGGCTTTGTTTCCTGGATTTTTTGCAAATTATATATTAGGCATTCTTTTTTCTAGTTATCTGTTGTGATGACAAAGTAGATACACAGATTACCATAGCACCCATAAGTTGCCATAGTCATGCAAGAACTCCAATTAAACCTACTTAAGTTTTTATCTCCAGCGTCCTACCCTTCAATACCAAAGATTACTTAACTACTGATACGAACCCCTTGGGCAAAACTCACCATTGAAAACCGGCTTGTAAGGGGAGAGTGCCCAAGAGTTTTATATGCACATGGCCATGGCCTATGTTAATCGATGTGGGATCGTAACATATCACGCCACTCAATACCTGAATCCTTTGCCATAGAGATCACTGTAGACTGAGATGCTGATAAAAAAATCACTGCAGAATCAGACTCAGGTTGGTGGACGGGTGGGGTGTGGGCCAGAGACAAAAGCAATTGCATCTCGACTCTGTAAAGCACTACAAGGAGAAGTGAAATGCACAGAGAAAGATGGGTACAGGTTCTTAGAAAGACCTGTGACTTAATGATCGATCTGGGCCAAGATAGAGCATAATGGGAAAAGTGGAAACTTCCAGCCCAATCCCAAAATTTGAATGTTAAATTCCTTCTTCAGAACATACGGTGCCTTAATTTAATTTAAGATGTGAAAAAAGCTCTTATAGAAGTGTGATGCTGGGAAGTTAGCATAACCAAACAGAAGATGACCACATATCAGAAACAGGGTGAGAAAAGAGAGATTGCTTACTTGACATGAATAACATTCTGCATCACTCTTCATGGCAACACTAATAGATGAAGCAACAAGTCATACATTTCGCAGTCAGGAAAAAAATATACAAACAAAAAACAAAACATCTGGCTTATGGCAGCATAACTCAATCCCATTCAGCTAATTTTGCTAAGAAATTTGTTGAGGATGTGCAACAAGTTAAGGGGATGGACTAACCAACTGGTTCTCTAACACTTGCCAAGTGCATCCCATAAATTTGGACTTTGTTACCAAGTATAACATGAAGACAATGATAATCAATTATAGCTAAGCTACAAACCATAAACAAATCCCAAGGGTAAATAAGTATTAAAAGTAGCCATGCCTGCAATCAAGTAACTATACATACAAACTTTTCGATAAGTAGTTGAAAAACTATATCTATGTCTAAATATATATATCTAACACTCCCAACACTTCTAAACAGCAAATGTAGTGACAAAAAGGAAGAGTGTATTCAAACCTCTAGGATAAACAACAAAATCAAGTCACTCTTAGGACCTATAATACAATTTAAACATCCCTAATCCATACGAATCAAGCCAATTGCAAAGACCATGTAGCATGAAAAGTAAGAAAGTCTGAAGAAAAAAAGTTCCTTGTGCATAAGAGTCTCAGACATTTGACCATAGTGGACAAATGGACCCAAAAATTTTGGCAGAGCTAAAAGCTAATCAGTAAGAAACTTTACTCTATTTTCAAACCAATAATAATAATAGGGAGTATATTTCATTTACACTCCGAAGAGCTGAGAAAACTAAATAAAAGCAGAAACAAGAACCTGAGATGAAAACCTGTTTTGCAAAATCTAGGCCAGCTTCACGGAATGCTTTTTGTACTTCCAATAAACCATTTCTTGTTTCTGGAGTGCCTCCACTCTGAGTAGAATTGGAACCGGAAACATATTAGCAACGTGTTTTGAACTGTGATTTGTGACGACTAACACAACAGCAGCAAAAAAAATGACTTCCATGCAGACCTTTGATATAACTATTACAAGCGTAGAAGCCAACTCAGGGCCAAGCTGTGCAATCTGATGATCAATGCCAGCTGGATCTGTATTGTCAATGAACCTTATCTGCAGAAAGGACAAAAAATTGTGACAAGCATTAGAAACCTCATTGTAAAAACAAATGTTCCAATACAAGTTCATTATATACCTTGAGAGGAGGATTATCAGGAGCCAACGCCTCTGCAACAAACTGTGGTCCAAGGGCAGAACCTCCAATTCCAACAGAAAGTACTTGTGTAAAGCGACCCTCAGGAGAGGTTGGGGGCTTAATCTATGGTTTTAAAGCCAAAAATAAAGCACGGAAAATTGTTAGAACTAGAGCTCTGCCAACAATGTCATGCAGAAAGTATCGTAACATCCTAGAGATAGTAATGAATTAGAACATGTTTATGAAACAAATCACATTTACGGGGCAGAAGAATCAAGGGTTATATAGGAACTAGTGCATGTCTGTGTATAGTACTGACAAATAGAACAAACAAGGAGGATCCATAAGTGCACATTAAAAATATTGCATTTGTAATTTATTTGGAATAAATGCATAATAGTACTCCCTGATCTTCATACAGAAAAAAGAATAACACGAATTCAGCAAGTCTCAAGTTTCCTCTGTTTGATTCAGTAATCCAAATAAGCAAACCCTCAGTGCATAAAAGTGGGTCAATGGCTCATGATAGAACTCCTCACACAGCTAAGATGCAGTGTTAAGCAAATTTTAGTTTTTCATCCTCCAAAGTATAAGTCACAAATGGGTCAATGGAATGAATGTTTCCTTCCTTCCATCTATTTAACAAGCGCTCACAAAAAAAGAAAAAAGAAAAAGAAGAAGATAAACATAAAAGAAATGTGATTTCCACCAAAACATAGAAAGGAGTCAGTATAATCAGTTCTAATAAGCAGCCAAATCAACTTCCAGTTCATGCCTCTCCAGTCCATCAAGTAGAACCTTTTAGTACTTATGTCTCGTTGATTATGGCCATACAGTTGTGCTGGAGCTTTAAAAAAAAATGGGGAGCTTAATTCTGCCATTCTGGGATGAATTTTACATTATTGAAGCTGTCCATTAGTCAATAAAAAGTGGCTGTCTGTTCTTTTATTTTGCACATGAAATTCAATCATGACAAATTAAATGCATGCATGAACATCCCATTGGCATGCATTATGAAGTGCTCCACTGCGTATTATGAGGCATTTGAAGAATAAATTAATCTCTCCATTGCAATTGAAAAAAGTCACAACTCATTTCTAAGGCAAAAGCAGGAGCACATGAAACAAATCAAATGAAATGATGAACTCAAATCTAGAGAAATCTACATAAATCACCTATGCTTGTTCTTATGACATCTTATTACACGTCTCAGGCTGTATTTTCATTATCACATTCACCAATTGAGGGAGATAGAAAAACGCGAAGAACAAATCGAGTACCTTTGAAGAAATCGCGAAGAACAGAATTCCAAATGAAATTGAATGCATCGATCATAAGAAGAAATTGCGAAGAACAGAAATCGCGAGGGGCACATGAATGCATCGTTCCAAATCCTAGAAAATATTGAAATTAAATCAAAGTTACTCAGCATTAAACTTACCTCAAGCATGGTAGTCAAAGTTACTCAGCAATTAAAGTTACTCAGCAATGACCAAAGCATTAAAATATGTGAATCTCGGTATAAATCAAAGTTACTCAGCAATGAATGAACACAGATATATATATATATATATACATATGAAAATATAGCAAAAGGATTGATTCGAACCAAAGCTTCGTAGCTGAGAGAGAGTTAGATCAATCATGAGTTCAAATCACTCCAAAATCTATACACAGGTATTTGAAATAGAAATAAATAAGAGAAGAATAGAATTAAATCAAAGCGATTCAATACAATAGCAAGAGTTTAAACTCATTCAAATTGATTTCACACATAGGGCCAGAGTATAATACCATGAGATTACAGCTAAACACACACAGATTTCCACACACACACACACACAGAGACTAGGCGAGTGGACGGTAATCGGCGCGAGTCATATCATGATCAACACAGAGCATCGCATAGAGAGCGTAAACTATTCCAGGAATGTAACCTAAGATCGTCAATACCAAGCATACGAAGAACTCTACCTGCAATCCACAATATATATACATATATAAATATACAAATATGTATATATATAGAGAGAAAGGAGAGAGAGAGAGAGAGAGATTCATACCACTAGAGTAACGACCATGGCGAGCAAAGAGAGCCAGAGAGCTAGAGAGAGACCTCTCTGTTTATCAATGTCGTGAAAATGACAGTGAAAGGGGCTTAGGGCATATGTGAGTGTAACAAAAGGGCAAAATAAATTGGGGTCAGTGAAGGGAATAAAAAATAGGGGTAAAATATGCCTTTTGGCACAGATCATTTCCAAAAATGTTTTCTTTTTGCGACAGTTAAATAATGGGTCGCAAAAAACTAGACGCAAAAAGTCACTTTTTTAGTAGTGATAAAACCGTGTATTTGGTTGCTCAAAATCATTTCCGGATGAATGAGAAGTGTAACGCCCTCAAAATAATACAAATAGCCCAACTCATAAGAGAAATAAATATAACATAATTGGTACGCTTTCACATAACATAGTTCGTATTACAAAAGGGATTACATGCATTATATATTCACAAACGTTCATTCTGAATCTATAGCATGTAATGCAAATTAATAACAACAAATTAAATGCCCTACGGGTTTACATCTTTCTAAGACATATCTCGGTTACAATCAAAAGTATGCTTAGCTCATTACATCTTAAGCCTTTGGCTTTACCAAAATATACAATCAAAACGAGAAGCCCTTGCTTCCAAAAGTCTCTCCAATGCTGTTGCCTTGGTGGAGGTATGCTATCATTACTTGAAAATGTTATTCCCAAGTAGGGTGAGCCACAGCCTAGTAGAAACCATATAACACAGTATATGAAATTTAGCAATAGTATAAGTATACTATGCATATACAACGTCAAAGATAAATGCATCCATATTATGTATAGTATTAAATTGCCAAACTCAATCATTAAGCCATTTCTTTTCATTTCATTTAACTACATAAGCCAATTTCATCATTTCTCAATAACCCAAATGAGATTACAACTCATTAGTTCTATAACCACATTATCAACACGTAAACACTTCAAACTTTTCTTTCACAGATATTTCATCCGTGGGCAACTATCAAATGGGACCCATGTATTCTTTCATGGATATTTCGTCCGCGGGCAGCCATCAAACGGGACCCATGTAAACGTAAGCTATACAAGCACTACAATTGCCATTTTATGGATATTTCGTCCGCAAGCTAGGCACCCATGAATAATTTCAGGACTTTTACCTAGGACACTCCGGCCAACTTAATTATAATAGAGACCATCCCCTTTCTCCTCCCAAACAATCACACATGCATATGCAATGTATTTAATCACAAACTCAAACAATGGAGTACATCCTTTTTCCATGTTCAAATAACCATACATATACAACGTACATGAATACAGTCATATTCAATGACAAGCACAAGTGATTAGTTTCAATTTATCTAATTCGCATGCAATTTCTACAACAATCATAGCTATCTTCCACTGATAGCTCAATACAATTATTTCTAAACAGATATCAAATCTCATAACAGATAGTTTATTAGAAACTATCAAAGAATGGAATAACACATAACCAATCCCACCATTGATATTAATACCCTTTTAATTTCACATTTTTAATGTCAATTTCCATTATTTATACAAAATAATAATTTGATTCAATTAGGGAAAATCCCCCATTTTCCCCAAATATTAGCCAAGTGCTAAAATCATCAAATCATACACAATACAACATCATTCTCAAACCCCTCAAGCATTTATATCACCTTCACCAAAAAATTCCTCTTTTCATTTTATGCCCAAACCTTAGGTTTGCCCTAAATACCCTCAAATCACATTATTGTTACACAAGATACAAATAACTAAGCTAAATATCATATAAAAGTGTAGAAAAGATCCCTATCTCAAGCTTAGATGAGAGAGAGGAAAGGAAAGCTCAAAAATCGACGGTGATGAAACAACGATTTGCCCCGATCAAAATGTAGACCTTGACAAGCTCTACACTTAATCTCAAAAGAGTAAGGTGAAAAGATCACTCTAGGTGAGTAGATCTAGAGATTTAAGTGAAAAAAGTTTGAGTTTTAGAGAGAGAGAAGAGAACTCACAGTTTGAAAAGAAGGAGGGGAGGAAAAATAATGAGAAAAGTGGTTTGGGCCTATTTATAGTAGTAACAAATAGCCCTAAGGGCAAATAAAATAATGGGACCAAAAACCCCCTAAAGGTAGGGCTCAATCGAACCCCAAAAATCTGAAAAAAAAACACTCAGGGGTTGACCCTTCTGGCAGGGGGTGTCAACCCTTTAGGTAGGAAAGACAATCTGGCACAAGCAAGGGGGGTCGACCCTTAAACAGGAGGGGGTCGACCTTATTTTCCAGCACTAGTTGCCCAGATTTTGGCCTGTACGCTCGAGCGGGGGTTTTGGCGCTCGAGCGGAGATTACACCCATTCAGTATTTTCCTGTGCAGCGTTGTACGCTCGAGCGTGGGATTGGCCACTCGAGCGGGGTTGTCTGAGTGCCGTGTTGACATCCTAATGAAGGTAACAAAAGATATTAGCATATTTACAAATGTGCCAAAGCTAACTCACTCGCATCCTAAATAATGGTCATCCTGCGACATTACCAGAGTTCCAATTAGAAACAATAGTGATCAAGTACTCTTCTAATAGGACTTCTAAAAATCCGTAGACCCAATCAATATCTTAGGAATTAAATCTCATACCCATATAATCACATAAGCGTGTTATCACATAGCATTACAAACATACAAACATCTCTATCAAACGAGATAAACCCATTGTGGTAAAAACCACTTCCCACATACCTTTAGTATTCAAACCTGGTACACTCTGATACCAAGTTGTAACGTCCCAAAATAATGCCATAAACCATCTACAACGATAAGTAAATAATAATATACATCAAAGTATAATATCTTTCTATTACATAAGATTTGGTTGTACAAAAGGGTGACACATGCGAATATACATTCATAAGTCATAACCTTGAATCTATAGCATGTGTCAACAACAAAGAAATGAAATAGAAGTTAAATAGATAATTGAAATTACTTGAAGGCTACAACTTTCCTAGACAGTACTTGATTACATCACAACGGATTTAAATTCAATACAAAATAAGCCCTAGGCTTAATAATAAGAAGTAAACAA